TTTTTTTTTTTAATAAAAACGGTGAAAGGCATTTGAACCCATGTTAATTCAAAAAATCATATCTCAGCTCAGAAACTAACGATTGGTTTTTTGTTGTGTTCATTTTGGAGGGAATTTCAAGAGCTATCTATAGCAAAAATTTTTTAAAAATCTGTCGAAAAACGGGTTTACACGACAACAACCTTAATTAATGAGTCGTTTCATCAGTTTTCTCCTCTGAGTGCTCGGGATATAGCACATTCAAAACCCTTGTTTCTAATTGCTGTACACTGGTATTTCTAGTCTTAATTTTAATCTTAGATAAACAGTCGAAAGATGGAACTAAATTGGCAAATGACACGAATAAAATCAAGCATACAGCTCACTCTGATATGGACGGAATCCAACACAAATTATTTACCAGTATTTTAAAACGTACAGTGTGAAACAACGAAACGTATAAACATTGAAGAAATCGTCGAAAATAGATAAATAAAATGACAGAAGTAATTTTTTGCACACGGTCATGTTTTAAAGTCATAAGTCTTCCACATTTTTGTAAGTCTATAATCATGGAGACCATCAAAAAAAATTGTGAGTCTTCAGATTTTTTCTTGATTCCTGACGAAGTTTTTGTTGTTTACAATAACAACCCTTCCAATAAACACCACGAATTATTATTAGTATCATTACATATTGAGGGTGATCAATATACTCTAAGATAATCTGACTTTAAAGTTTTTCATAATTAATCATTTTAATTAACAATTAATATTATTCGACTATTAACAAAAAAAATGATTATATTTCACTGCATCCGCTATAGAAGTATTGCAACTTATCGATAGTCAGATTCCCGTTGGTAAACTTGGAAATGGCATTAAGAGTAGATTGTAGAAATCCTTCGGAAAGATCGATAAACAGATGAAAATAGGCTATTGTTGTCTATATGGATAATAGTTGAAACTTGTTGCTAATGCGCATGATAAAACCAATGTTGCACAGAATGTTAGCTGTTCACATAAACCACACCTTACCTCAGTCTTCCTCATTTTTCCCCATCACTTAAGGTTGTTGTCGCGCGACAGTCTCTGTAAAAAGTTTATCCGCTGTAAAACG